TTTAGTCATTCTAAAATAGATTCTTTCTTCACCCTCCTCTCTCTCTCTCTCTCTAGCAGCTTACTTGTCATGTCCAATCTTGGTATCAAATCACAATCATTTAGTGGAAATTATTATTCAGTATTTAGAAGGTAAAAAGCACTGTTTAATTGTTACATATCATTAATATTATTTTTACTCTGTCACATCCAGTTATGGTTTCATGTTAGGGCTAGGGCCCAATTGCATGGAACAGATGAACTCTGAGACAAAGTGACATTCAATACAAACATTGTCTGATCATTGCTAAATATGACTCAGAAAATGATGGACACAAGAAAGAGTTCCTTAACATAAATAGTTTTATGTTGGGTCTCAGTATAAGTGACTTTTTTAAAAACATAAGTATAGTTTGAAATGTAGTCCATCAGTTTTTAAATATTGTTTTTGCTATCTAAAACTTTTGGGGTAGATCATCAGTAGCCCTTTACCCCCTGTGCAAGGCTCTCTTACAATATTTACCTGTAGCATGGGCTGCAGGGTGGAAGAGAAGTTGGCTCTGAAAGGCCCAATTTATCAAGGTGAATACACAACTCTCATTGTCTTCAGTGGGAGCTCTGAATGCTCAGCATTCCTGAAAATCATGCCCCTTTGATTTGGATACCCAAACACTGTAGGCCCAACTTTCTGAAGAACTGAACACTTTCAGCTCTCAGTTAGGCTTCATGGATGGAGAACTGCAGGTGCTTAGCACACCTGAAAGCTGGTCCTGCTTGGATTTAGGTGCTCAACTATAGATGCAAATCTCTGAAAATATTGGCCTTAATTTTTTAATTAGTAATTCATAGTAAATGCACAATTGTCTGCCAAAATCGAGACCTGATTATGAAAATTATACACAGAGATGTCTACATGAAACTGAAGAGAGCCTACAGCAGTCTCTCTGAGCAGTATAAACTCAATGAGGTGTTAACTCACATACCCAATAATGACAATTTAAATGTCAACATTTGTTAACTATTTCACATAAGAAAGGAGAGATAAAATCCCAGATCTCCAGAATTTACTGTGAGTGAGATTTCATTTTGGTGTCACAAGAGGATGGTATTTGGATGAGTTCCATCATTCATTTCCCCCCCACCCTCCCAGTTAAGAAAGAGCCAAGCTCAAGGAACCTAGCAGAGTCCCAGGACATACTGAAGCTCCAGTGAGGGGATCCAAGCTCTAGGAACACACTGAAGGTCAGGGAGCACAATCCAATGAGAGTGGTGTCCATTTCAGTGACTCAAATGGATGGAGTCTATTTTGTAGGTGGCCCCCAGGAGAGTATCACCACCTTCCCCCCTTTCCCATCTGACCCCTTCTTTCAGTGCTTAAAATGACTGTTGGCATGATACATTAATTTCAGCTCAGTTCAAAACAAGGTTAACCTCCCCCCCTCCCAAAATTGGGTTTCAAATGGAAAAATACAAAACTGATAAGTAAAAGCTGGTAAGCAAAAGCTGGTAAACATGGGGAGAGAACATGCCTAACTTTGATAGATGTGTCACTATCTATGGATCTCCTGTGGCCTAGGCAGGGAGTGGCATTAACTGTATTATTCATTACATTAAAATATGCAAATGTGACTCACTGTTAATTTGGTTGACTTGGAGGTAGAAGTTTTCTAGGTTCTCATTGACTGTTGGAATGCTCTTCAGCATGTTATAGGAGAGATCCAACTCAACTAGGGAGGAGATATTGAAAACGTTGCCTGGTATTCCACCATCTGTCAACCGATTGTGAGACAGATGTAAATATTGCAGGGCCTTAAGACCTTGGAAGTACTCATCAGGAATGTTGGTGATCTGGTTGTTGTTAAAATACAGCATGAGTAAAGCAGGAGGCAGTCCTTTTGGTAGCTTTGTAAGTTGATTGGAGCTCAAGTCAAGATATAAAAGTGACTTCAGGCCTTTCAAAGCCCCGGAAACAGAGTCTGTTTTCAGCTGGTTATGCTGTAGGTGAAAGACAGTCAGGTTCACCAGCCCCTCCAGTACATTGGCGCTGACTTTTGTGATCTTGTTGTGACTAAGTTGCAGGTCATCCATGGTATTGGCAAGTGGTCCAACAGCTTCAGTCAAATTGTTATAATTTATATGCAATTTCTTTAAACTCTTTAGTTTGGAGAAGACTCTTCCCTTAATTTTTGAATTTTCCAAATGGTTGTGATCTAAGATCAGCCACTGCAGGTCTGTTACATTGTCAAATGTATTTTCTTCAATGCCCTCAATCATATTGTTTCGGAGATAAAGGTATTTTATTCCAGCAGGTACAACTGGGATGCTTTTCAATTTGAGGTCATCACAATACATTGCAGATGGATAGGTTTCAGGACAATTACATTCTGGGGCACAGACCGCTGTAGATGGCCCCATCATTGAATGAACATAAGGGTCATCTGGGTCTGGATAATATCCCATATCATAGTCGTAATAGCAGAAAATGCCACTGATCAATACCAGTAAGAAAGGTAGAGAGCTTAGATGCATCTTTGAAATGTGTCTTGTCCCTATATGGTGGGTGTGGGGGAAACAGTTATAATTTTGTATTTATTTTCCTTGATATTACTTTTAATTTTACCATATAAAATTATGCATAAAAACTGAAAAGGAAGATTGAGTTAATTAAAGTTAATTTATAAAAGTGCCAATTAGGTTTGTGACTAAGAAACTTGTATGCAAATCCACATCATATTTGGAAGGCCTAGGAGAAGAGCTGGCTCTGAAAATCTCTCTCTCTCTCTCTCTCCACTGAATAAATTGGTCATATACTTATATAAATGACCTTGCAGATTCCCATTTTTCATACTTAGATAAAAATGAATATGGTACACAGTAAAACTTATTTTAAGCAACCATTCAAGGGGCCAATAACCCAGTTGCTTAACACAGGTGGTCGTCTAATCCAGGTGAAGCAAAATTGTTCTCAGCATACTTGGGATGCGGTCTTGAGACAGGAAACTGCTTAATAAGGGTGGTCTCTTGTAACTTTTAACTGGTTAGTGTTTTAAAATATTTATATAAGCATGTGTATACACATACAATCCCACTATCAATTCACACAGTGGGTCAGACCCACATCTGGTGTAAATCAGTGTAGCATTAGGCTGAGTCACACCAGCTGAAGACCCGGCCCACTGTGTTTTAACTACAATTCAGAATGTGATGCAAAACAATAAAAAACAATTCAATTGTCCTCTTGTTCCCAAGTAATTTCAGAGCATATCCATATGCAACTTGGTATGCACAGTAGCATCAGACATGGATCTAAGATCCATGGAAAACTCCAGCAGAATAAGATGTTGTTTTTATGATTTATCTGGTGACAATATGCTCAGAGCTACACAAACAATTGAGAACTCCTGTGGTGCTTGCAATTTAGTTAAGAACAGCACATATGCCTTACGTTTGTTCCCTGGCTTTTGTTGGCTCACTAAAAGCCATGTTATATTCTAGTGGGCAAATAATCCTTGAATTAAAATATCTCCAAGCAGGTCCTGTTAATCTACCCTCCAACAGAATGTGAGAGTTTTTAAAGTGGTGTTATGGTATCTCCGATCAATGAATTTAAGTTTCTCTGTTCTGCCTTAGCTTTGATCGAGGAGATCAATTAAATATCTTTAATTAGGCACTTATCCAATCAATATTACCTAATTAGATACAGTAGGGTAGACATACCATTGGGGAGATTTTCAAATGTGAGTTACAAGTATGGTTTTATTTGTCTGCTAGCCACTATTGTCTAAGAACATACTAAATCAAATGCAAAATATGGCACAGGTCCCCAGCCAGTGTAAATAGGCACAACTTCACTGAAGTCAATGGAACTTCACTGATTTACATCAGCTGAAAATCTGGCTGGTCCCCTCTGTGTAAACACATTCAAGATGGGAGGTCTTACTATTTCTCTACAAGCGTGGAAAGTCAGAGCTATGGCCAACAATTTGGACTGGCACTCTTTGGTCTTACAGTAATATTCTCTGACATGTTTGCATTGTTTTTGGCAAAAGTAAAGGCCTATTAATATAGAAGAATGAATAGTCTGCTTTAACTGTATCTTTCATTGCTTTTCTGGTTTTAATTTGTACTTTTAATGGTTCTTAGTTGTTTTTTTCCCCTTAATTCCATATATAGGACACTTGCTTCAAAGAACATGCAATATTCAATATGATGCAAAACACTAGAAATAATGTCAAGATTTAAACTAAATTTATATGGATTAATGTAATCAACTAAATGTTAAAAATGAGGTGGCATATGATTCATATGAATGTGTTTGTATATCTGTATAAAATACAGTATGGTGCACGTGTGTGTATACACACACGTACACACACACACACATATACATACATACATAAAGTATAAATACTTTATCACGATAAAGTAAATATTATGTAGAACAATTATCTTGCTTATTGCCAGAGTCTTAATAAGTGGATCTAAAAAAGTCTATCAAAAATGTAAAAAAAGAGATCATTATATATACTCAAAATGTTACCCTGGACCATATGATTTTGAATTAGGTCAGAGTTTGTTCAAACATGCGAGTCTTGTGCTGGAAATATTTTTTGTAGAAATTATTTTTTGTTGTTTTACAAGTTTCATTGTAAAATACCTGAGCACACAGTAGGGAAGCTGCACAGCAAATGCAGACAATGGTAAATTGGATCGCCACAAACTTCAAAAAAACTCACCAGAGTGGAATAGAGAAAGTGGCAAAAACTCTTTAAAATATTTTGAAAATTGAGTACATTCATTATATTGTTTAATTGTCATGAAAACAATTAAATATATTCAATATTTAAAATATTGTGATTCGGCAATATCAGTTTCACTCTGCTGGCTATGGTGTATAAAAGGAAATTAAAATATTTAATTGGGTATTCAACAAATTTAAATGACAACTTAATGAAAATTTCAAACTGTCTAGCATTTTACCTTTCATCAACAGCCAAACTAATTATTTAAATGTTTCTATTCTGCATCCTCCTATTTAAATAGTACAATAATGATTTAACACATCAAGAGGACTGATAAGGTGTTGTTACTAACAGACCGCTGGAGGGCTAATTGAAATGAGTGGTATTTTTAAATTTTCCTTTTACTGTGTATGAAGTTTCCCTTCCCAAATATGTACAAAAAGTTCACCACTAATGCATACAGCACGGGGTTATTGTAAGCACACTGTGAAATTAAATACACAAAAACTGCTGATTTGTGTTCAATTTACAAATTGGCAAACTTGTTCTGACATTTTTCATGTCCCCATTACAGCTTCATTTAAATAGCTGAACGTTATAGTTAAAACATGCAATAGCACTTACCTTACTGCCTTGAACTGCTTTCTTTAATTCCCAGAGCAGATGCAATAAAGGACTGAATCGACCAATATATGCTGTAAACGGTGTCAGGAGGTAACTGGTTGCCAGATCCTCTGTGATACAAGAGCTAAAAAAAACAAAACAAAAAACAACAACCCCCAAAAAAAACCAAACCAAAAAAACCCTAGTCACGCTGTTCTCTGAAGCTGCTATGTCATCATGATGATCTTGTGGTGTGGCATGTACAAATGCTGCTCTCTAATGAAGTGCAGGTGGATACTGTATACTGTACAAGGACAACCCATCTGCAGTCCTTAAGGACTAGGGAAAAGATAAGTGTTTCACAAACCTGAGAAAGTTCAGACTCTGAACCACAGCCTTACACAAGGAATTTTAGTATTTTAGAGGAAAAAATGCTTTAAATAAAATACAAATTACACACAGACCTTTCCTGTTTCCCAGTTTATTTTATACCATGAGGCATGATCTAACAAATAACATTCAAACCTCAATGTAGTTTTATATATCTTAAGCCAAGTCATTCACTCATTTATGTCTTGTTTTTCTTTCTATCACATTATTTCCATAATAATATAATAAAAAAATTAACTGAGGAGAAGAATCAAAGATGAAAATACACTAGCATTTTTGTTAGAGTGCTATACTATAAATCTTTCTCCAACACATTGTAAGCGAATATTGACTCCAATGTTTTTTTTTCCGTTATACATACAGTAATGTACTAGGTTTGGGAATTTTCTTTGGTGATCCAATTGATCTAATACATGTATGTTTCATAATAAAAATGTCCCATAAAGGCTTTTCTGCAGCTGTAAACTCACTTTAGACATTTTTTCCTTTTTAGTTCTCAAAACACTCTTCTACCCTTCAGAATCTGGAACCACTCAGCTATGCGTTCTGTTTCTTATTTCATGGATATCATTCAAGAATGCATCCTAAAGCTTGGATGAGAATGTTGGTTTTAGTTGGACAACCCCAAAAGATAATATATTAAAGAAAATCATTGGCAGAACCATAACTGTTCATTCTGGGTCTTAATATTTCCATAAGAAAACTCCCAGACACCTAAATTGTGAGTGTCTTGATTTGTTTATGGGATGCAAACCCTTTTCAAAGAGTTGTGTGAGGGAGGGAAAAAAAGCAAATGTGTCTATGGATAGTATAGACAAGGCATCTTGAAAGGTTCTGTGATAGAAGGTTTCATGCTGGTCAGATATGAAGCAATAAATACACTTGAATTTTATCCCAGAAGAGGTGATTATGTTGCTTGCTATCATTTGTAAGGGATTTTGTTCAGAATTTTAATCTGCTATTCATGTGCTGTCATCGGTGTTCAGTCCAAAACTGGCCTACATGCCCATGCAGAGGATTAAGGAAGCTACCCATATTACAAGTCATAAAACAGGGTCAGGGCAGGGGTGGGGTTAAGTTTAACACTTTTGGAGCCGTTACTCTTCCTTTTACACAAGAGGTGGATGGGGCCCTGGCTCTCTCCCGGCCATGCTCGCCTGCATGTCTTAGCCTGGTAGGGAAATAATCTGTACCAGGAAAAGAGTTGGCACAGGAAAGCAGGAACTGATTGCGAATCTCTGAGCCACAACTCAGTCCCTGCTTTTGCTCCTGGGGCAATATAACTCTGTAGTTAAGCTGACCGAAGCCCCAGAATAGACGCTGCTAGGTCAACGAAGAATTTTTCCATCAACCTAGTTACTGCCTCTTTAAGTGGTGGATTTACTACAGTGACAGAAAAACCCCTTCCATCACTGTAGTAAGAGTCTACACTTCAGTGCTATGGCGGTGTAGCAGCAATGCCACAGCTGTGCTGCTGTAGGACTTGTAATGTAGACATACCCTTAGACCAGGGGTGGGCAAATTCCGGCCCACACACTGTTTTAAGCTGGCCCCCGCTCCGGCTGGGGCACTGGGTCAGGGATGCACCACACAGCTCGGCCCCGCTCTGGCCGGGGTGCAAGGTCGGGGACGCACCACATGGCTCAGCCCTGCTCTGGCACTCCAGATGGGACGCAGGGTCGGGGCTGCACCATGCGGCTCCCGGAAGCCGCAGCATGGCCCCGCTCTGGCTCCTACATGCTCCAATGCGAGCTGCAGGGGCGGTGCCTGCAGATGGGGTAGCACGCAGAGCCGCCTGGCCGCGCCTCCATATAGGAGCCAGAGAAGGGAAATGCCACTGCTTCTGGGAGCCACTTGAGGTAAGCGCCGCTCGGAGCCTGTACCCCCTGAGCCTCTCCCCACACCCAACCCCCTGCCCCAGCCCTGATCCCCCTCCCACTCTCCAAACCCCTTGATCCCAGCTCGGAGCACCCTCCTGCACCCCAAACCTCTCATCCCTAGCCCCACCCCAGAGCCCACACCCCCAGCCGGAACCTGCACCCCAGCCCTGATCCCCCTCATGCCCTCCGAACCCCTCAATTCCAGCCCAAAGCATCCTCCTACACTCCAAACTCCTCATTCCCAGCTCCACCCCAGAGCCCGCACCCTCTCTCACATCTTTACCCCAATTTTGTGACCATTCTTGGCCCGCCATACAATTTCTATTCCCCGATGTGACCCTCGGGCCACAAAGTTTGCCCACTCCTGCCTTAGACTTCTAACTTTTTGAGGCAAAGAACTTGGTCCAGCATCTTCTTTCACTTCCATCAGTTTCATAGCAGTTTGCAGTATATATTCCTTTCATTAATTTTAATTCATGAGAACAATGGGTAAAATACTCTTTGTCTAATCTACTTTGTCCTTAACATTGTAAGTATCTACACATTTTCACTTCACTTTACTCTACCAAAGGCTCCCTCCCTGTCATGCCATGTCTTCCTGGTTGAGGATGGCTTCCAGGAATCCTATGGAGCGTCTTAATGAAATCTGAGAACTGAAGTCAATGGAGCTCTCTTCATCTTCCATTCTGCCTGTTTCCTTTTCACATTTCCCTTCTTCACACCTCCTTCCATACTGCCCCAGTGTATACTGTCATTTGTGTCTTGTAAAAATAAGAGCACATACACTCAGTAACAATGATTTCTGCACTGGCAAAAGGAATCACTGTGGCATTCCCATTAAGGGGCAGTATATGGTGTACTCATAAGTAGGGCTCAGGGTCTGCCACAGAGGTTGTGGACTTTCCACGACCTCCATGACTTCTGCAGGGGCCAGTTTGGCTGACCCCAGGGCCAACTGCTTAGGTACCCTCAGGGCAGCCACACCAGCCCCTGCTCCTGCAGCCCCGGGCAGCAGTCCGCAGCTGGCTGGCTGGAGCAGCCCCTGCTCCAGTGTCCGCAGGCAGTGGTCCCTGGCCGGCTGGCTGGAGCAGCTGCCGTCTGCTGGTCCAGGCAGCTGATGCCACTGGCCCCGGGCAGCCACCCCTCAGCAGCTCCCCGCCCAGCACCCTCCCCCAGACACCCTCCCCTCCACCCCACCCCACCCCCAAGGTAATCTCAGGTATTTTTTAATATAAATAAAGGACAGGTCACGGGTCATGAATTTTTGTTTATTGCCCGTGACCTGTCCATGACTTTTATTAAAAATACCCGTGACTAAAACGTAGCCTTACTCATAAAAATTGAACACGCTATCTCTTCTGAGTCTTTTGCCTTTGCTCTCGCCCAGTTAGAGAGACTAAAACTAGCAACAGAACTCATGTGCTTCAGTGAGAAGTGTGGAGCTCTACATACAAGGGCAATGGAAACGTTTGTATTGCTACATAAAATGTGTGGATTGAGTATGCATTTTTCACTCATCTTGAATTAAATACCATGGGCCAAGTTTCTGTGTTTTTCTATGCAGATGCAACTTCCATTGAAGTCGATGTAACATTAATGTTGCTTGATTTGATTGCTTTGCTACTTTTGCTGAAGCAGAGAGAACTGAAATCTCCATTAAAATCCACTGGCTGTGTCACAGGCATAGGCAACTTAATGTAAGTGGCATGTTGTAAGTTACTGAAAAGGCATGAAGTTTTCTTAGCCGCCGATATATGGTGAATGAACAAAAATAAGGCGTTAGCTCAAGCCTTCAATAATAATTTAATGTTTTTTCTGAAGCCCTGCAACATTTTAAAAATATTAGTTAATGCTGACTCATATCAAATCAGTTCCACTAAAAACAACTCAGCTCCAGATCCTTGGTGGTGCAGGCACTCATTATTTTTCAACTGAAAGCTTTCATCCTGTCGTTTTGCTTGTCCAATATTTACCCTGCACTTACATTCAAATGGAAAATATTGGGGTGCATATTATGAGCATTACAGGGTTTGTAGTAATCCAATTCTTTTCTTTCTTTCTCCTAAAAAGGAAATAGCAGCTTTGGAGTTTTACAAAAATGGTAATACTGGTGGTACACCCTATTAACAGACCACGAGACGTTTTTTATTTGAGTCTGAATCTTTGTTTCTGAGGTTCAGAAAAATGAATCGCTGCTTTGTGTTGCTTCATACTTGACAGTATTTAGAAGTTGGTAACATTTACTTCTTCCAGTGGAAGGGAGACAGTCTGAGTCTGCACATGCTGACTCTGCAACAGGCACACTTTATAATTCAGCAATTCAAGAGCAATTCGAGGTCTGATTCTTAGGTTCTATATCATTTAAGGCTTTCAATACTATTTGTCTGAAGGACTTCTGTGTCTCTATGGTCCATGGTGGTAGTAGGGTTGAAGCTTCTGACCATCTATGTACAGTTTTGAAAGTCTGAGAAAGCAGGGCCTTTACATATGAGAGGCAATTTAATGGTGAAGCTCAAGATTCCTTTTTTTCCTATTTATTTTCCTATGTCTTTTGTTGTATAATGATGTGGGATGCTGTGTGTATCTGTGCCCACGTTCTAATTTATATAGGTACATTCCTTAATTTGCCATAAATCATGTTCTTAGTTACTCTTTTCTAAGATGCTCCAAGTTCTTTGGTCATGGGTAGGGTGACCAGATGTCCCAATTTTATAGGGACAATCCCGATATTTGGAGCTTTTTCTTACAATAGGCACCTATTACCCCCCGCCCCCTGTCCCGATTTTTTCACACTTGCTGTCTGTTCACCCTAGATGGGTATTGAACAATCTGAATTTATTATATAGATATTGACCAGAACTGATACCAATACAGCATCACCCGTTGTCATGCTCTTAGGATTCAGCAAATAGAATACTGTCTTACCTGAAAACCATGGAAAACGAAGACAGGCTACGGGGAAGTGGTCCAGGGAAATGTAAAGCAGCAATTAGTAAAAGAACGCAGCATGTGCTGCTATATTTAAAGGGTCTGTGGGTTGGGACACAGAGCAGGAGGTG